TTATGCATATTGAATCTCTGAAGTACTTTCTCAATATATTCAGACTGACTCAACTCCAGCGTCCCCTCAGCCGAGATGCGGCTGATTCGCATCCCAAAAATCTGCTTCGCTGCACCCAGATCCTTCATAAAAAATTCCTTTGCTAACTGCTTCTTCAGCTTGTTTATCTCTTGTAAACACGGTCCTGCAACTAACATGTCATCGGCATACAGCAATAACACGATATAACTCGAACCTCTTGAAGTAACAGCAATGATCTGAATTGCATCTGTCATAGCCAATGCTCTGCATGAAGTTATCAAACTTCTTATACCACTGTCGTGGGGCTTGTTTCAATCCGTATAAGCTCTTTTTGAGCCTACACACCATCTCTTCCTTTCCTTCCTCAATGAAGCCAACATGTTACTTCATGTAGATTTCTTCATCGAAGTCGCCATGAAGAAAGGCAGTCTTCACATCTAACTGCTCAAGGTAGAGATTTTCAGCAGCTACAAAGCTCAACACCACCCTGATGGTTGTAAGCTTCACAACAGGGGAAAATATCTCCGTATAATCCACTCTTTCAATCTGGCCTTGTATCTCTTCCTTCCATCACTCTCCTGCTTGACTCGGTAAACCCACTTGTTATGTAAGGCCTTCTTCTGTGCAGGTAGTTGGGTTAACTCCCATGTCTCGTTCGAGTGGAGAGAGTCCATCTCTTCTTGCATTGCATGCTCCCACTGCTGAGATTCGCTCACTTACATAGCCTCCTCATAGCATTCTGGTTCTCCGTCATCTATCAAAAGTAGGTAATCTAGTGACGAGAGATACCTGAGATTCGATTTGGATACTCTGGATGACCTCCTAAGCTCCTCGCCTTGGGTAGTTGGTTCTGCACCTGGAGTCTCCTCCGTTCTTTGGTCAGAATTGACATTATCTCCCCCATTTGGAAGTTCCTCCAAATCCATGTACTCGGATGCGCCCACATCCGTAGTGCTGCTCTCACTGTTTTGGCTCGCCTTGGCATTCTCTCTGTCCTTGTACATCACTTCCTCATTGAATATGACGTCTCGGCTTCTGATGATTTTCCTGTTCTTCTCATCCCACAGATGATACCCGAACTCATCAATGCCGTACCTAATGAATGTACACTTCAATGACTTAGCTTCTAGTTTGTCCCTGATATGGTCACTGATGTGGACATATGCCACACACCCAAAGACTCTTAAGTGTGAAAGATTAACTATCTTACCACTTCAAACCTCTTCCGGAATCCTAAAGTTTAATGGAACTGATGGGTCGTGATTTATCAAGTACGCTGTTGTATGCACCGCGTCCGTCCAAAAAATTTTTGGTAGACCTGCATGTAGACGCATGCTCCTCGCACGCTCTGTCAGCGTTCTGTTCATCCTTTCTGCTACGCCGTTATGTTGCGGCGTCCCTGGAGTAGTCCTCTCCAAACGAATCCCGTTCAGAGCACAGAACTTCTTGAACTTCTCCAAATTATATTCTCCACAATTGTCTGATCTTAGACACTTCACTTTCAGATCTATCTCGTTCTCCACCATGGCTTTCCACTTCTTGAAGATGCTGAACACCTCCGACTTGTGCTTCATGAAGTATACCCACACCTTCCTCGAGTGATCGTCGATAAAGGTGACGTAGTATGCCGAACCGCCAAGAGAAGACACGCTAGCTGGACCCCATACGTCTGTATGAACAAGCTCTAGCTTGTGAGCTTTAGGTGGTCTTCCACCCTTCAGAAAACTAACTCTCTTCTGTTTCCCGAAGATGCAGTCTTCGCAAACACCGACTTCTACCGAATCGATGCCGGTTAGCTTCCCTTCTGAGTGTAGAATCTTCATACCATTCTCACTCATGTGTCACAGCCTATTATGCTACAGATCTGCACTCTCCTTGCCTGCGGCAATCACGAGGGTGTCACTCGCGTGTGGAGTTAGGTAGAGGGTACCGGTTTTGTTACCACGGGCAACCACCATTGTACCGTTGGAGATTTTCCACGAATCTCCCCTTCTGCTCCAAGCGGACCTACCGAAATAAGATTCCTCTTCAACTTCGGTACGTGTCTGACATTCTTCAGAGATCACTTAGAGCCCTTCAACTGTATTTGCACGTTGCTTCTTCCAATGACACTACATGGTTCATTATCCCCTAAGTATACTTTTCCAAAGTCCCCTGCTACATAGTTCTGAAATAGCCTTCTGTTAGCAATGGCGTCGAATGAGGCTCCCGAATCAATAACCCATGAATCGGAATCGCTATCCATAGCGAGAATCAGCGCATCTTGCACAATATGAGCTTCTTGCTCATTTTTCTTTGGTGCTTTACAGGTAGAAGACATGTGGCCCTCCTGACCGCAGTTCCAACATTTCCCCTTGATGGGTCTCACCTTTGAGTTTGACCTCTTCTTCTTCGACTTCGATCGATTCCTATTTTGGTTCCCCATGTTATGGCTTCTGCCTCTTTGCTCGAGACTTAGGGCTGAACCCGAACCTTCTGATTCATTCGATTTTCTTCTAACCTCCTCGGATAGAATCATAGCTACCACCTCCTTCAGCTTCAACTTCTCTTTTCCCGCTGAGTTGCTGATTGCGGTCACACAACCTACCCAACTATTCGGCAACTGCGATAGTATCAATAGGGCATGTACTTCGTCATCAAACTTGATGTTGTCTGAGATAAGTTAATCAACAATCATGTTGAACTCGCTGAGATGCATCGTGAAGGAACATCATTCTGCTATCTTGAGGTTGAATAACGTCTTGACGAGATGCACCTTATTTGCAGCTGGTGGTTGCTCGTACATCGTTGCGAGTACTTCCATAAGCCCAACCGTCGTCTTCTCCTTTAATATATTGTGTGCTACAGATTTTGCGAGGGCCAATCGGACCTGCCCCAGGGCTTTTCGATCCAATATTTCCCAGTCCTCGTCGGATTCTTCTTTCTTCTTTCTTTTTGCTTTAACTATCAACGGACGGTAAAGATCCTTCTGGTATAGATAGTCCTCCATCTGTGACTTCCAGTAGGCGAAGTCTGATCCGTCAAACTTCTCAATTTTTGATTTACCTTATTCTGCCATTTCTTACACACACAGATCTGAACAAGAGCTCTGATACCAGTTGTTAGGGAAAAAATAACAGATACGCTCTGACACATGTTCTGCGAAATTTGCCCTACCGGATCTTGTGTTAAGCAATGGAAAAAAAATCACACCAAATCAAAAATAATTACAAGAACAGAGAACACCGAGTTTTAACGAGGTTCGGCAATTTGCCTACGTCCTCGGGAGCCACACAAATAATTTCCTTTATATTAAAGAAGATTACAAAACTTGTAAAGAGCAGATCTCAACTTGAGATCTCTCAAAAGAAGAGCCAACAGAAACTATCTGTTGTTCTAAAAGGCGTGAGATTTTACAACAGTAAAATCTCCTCTCTCTTCACTAAATCGCTACAGGACTTCAACAAAATAACTCAGCGAGATTTTCCTCTGAAAATCTCGAGCTCAATTAATGGTCTCGAGCTCAATTAATGGCGCCGCCTCAGGAGTTATCGCTCTGAAGAAGAAAATCGCGGCTACAGTTGCTTCTCGTGTACAGGGTTCCCTTAAATAGGGAAACCCTAGCCAGACAGCTGTGTCCAGCTGTTTCCTAACAGCGCAGGCGAAGAAACAAAGAGGAATGGGGGAAGGCGAACTTCGATTTCGCCTGACTCAGACCCACGCTCGCCTGTAAGAAGAGGGATCTCGCCTGTAGGGACTCGCCAGTCCTGGATCTCGCCCGCACAAGACCATCGAGTCCGCCTGCTCGATTTCCCGACTTCACTTCGCTCGAATTCGCCTGTTCGAGATCCACCCGCGCCTAATGCCTTCGAGCTCGCCTGCAAGGAGGTCCAAAACCTCGCCTGCAAGCTAGGGTTTCGAGCTCGCCCTCTTGAAGCCCTCTTGAAGCCCTCTTAGAGCTCGTCGTCGAAGCTCGCCACCGACCAGGTTTGTGTCTACACTCTGTTTTCCAACACCACACCCACCATTAGAATCTTGTTGTCATCATTTCTGATCTATCCAATAAGATGAATCGGGTCAGAGGCATTTCGCCTCATGGCTTCACCTATGGCATCTTCATTGGCTGTTGCAACAACATTAGCTGTGTTGATTTTATTGTAAAATCCATGGAAGAATCGCCGATATACGCAGAGGGATCAGAGGAGGACGACGATGACGACGACGACGAGGCGTGAAAAACATGGTAGCTCTCGGGCGGGCCCAGTCGTCGGACTCGAGATTGGTGAAGATGTTGAGGACGATGTTGTCGGAGAGCAAGGAGAAGAAGGCAATGGCCATGGTCGTCTTCTAGGGTTTTCTGGGGTTTGGAGGTTGAAGGGGAATTTTGGATTGAGATGGATTGGGATTGAGGAATGAATTTGAGTGGTAAGTGTTTGGGTTAATATCGGACAATTGAAAATTGTTTTCTGTTACACACAAAAAATCCACGGGACTAGTAGTCCCGTGGGTTTCTGTGTGGTGTTTATGAGGCGATTAACAAGCCCTAAATACACGGGACTACTAATCACCCTAAATACACGGGACTAGTAGTCCCGTGTGTTCTAAAATTCATATATTGCAAAACTGACCTCTTTTTAACCAATTTTGGTGAGCTGACAAAAAAAGGTCGATTTTGCTAAATATTTAGCAACACAGTCGTTTTTGCTAAATATTTATCAAATCCGGTCTCTTTCAAAAAAAATTCAAATAAAAATAAGTAGGTTGCCAAACATGCTCTTACTCTCTTTCATGTCGAAAAAGCGTTAGTCATAATCAAATGCTGTTATACACCGAGTAGTAGTACCCTTAATTCTGATTTCCTGTTTCTAAAAATTGGCTCTATTTTCCTAATTTCATAGTCGTTGGGTCACATGATCATTGATTCTTCAAAAGAAAAAAAAGGTACTTGTTGCAGTAATCACTGCTAATAACATAATTATTATTTGCTATTTTTGTTGCAGGATGCTGTGAAAGATATCGACTAGAACCCACTTCCTTTGTGCAAGTATCCGGCACAAGCATCATGCCCATGATACAGAATGTAACTTTAAAGGTATAGTACCTCTTTGTAGTTCTTGTATATTTACATGGCCATTTAGATGTAATTTAACAGTATCCTATTTTAATCTTTCAAAAGGGCTAGGGCATTATTTTCAATAAAGATGACTTGTGCTTTGCCTGTTGAAGACATTTTTAGAATTTTGCGAGAGCGCTATATTGAAGTCCTGATATTGACTTTAGAACAGTGTAATTGCTGCAAGTGTTACTCATCTCAAGGCCAGAATCAAGAAGTGAGAAAATTTGAGAAAATTTAGGGGGAAGTGCACTGATTCTAGCCACAAATTTATTTTTTCACTTTCAGTTTATAATGTAAAATGACTTTTTGCGTTATTGAAATGGGATAAATGAGTGCGACGATATCTTTTTAAGTGCAAATAAATGTTTAGCCAACTTTTTCATGCTTTACCTATTCGTTATTTACATGCGCTGCCACCTGGACTTCTTTTCAACTTCAAACGCAACTGTCTCTTGTTGATGCGTATCCCACCTTTTTTTTCTTCTTTTGATTGTAAAAAAACTTACATTGAAAATCAAGCAATGTCCAGAAATGCCTGACTCGCTGCATAAAATGGGAAATTAGATGACCAAATGCGGACATTCTGACGGGCTAGTCTTGCTAAGTCTCGGGCTAACATATGGCCTTGTCATCGAGTATGAGAAAACTGCACTAATTCAAGACCATCAAACTCCATATGAATTTCTTCTATTACATGACTCTAGTTAGTGAGATTTAGTTGTGCCTCCTACAACCCTTGAAGAACCCCCAAATGCATCAGGCTCTATTATGACCCTTCGATAGCCTCTGCTTGTTGCAATTCGAACTTCCTGCATAACACCAATATCTTCCATCAACTGAACACAACTAAAGTTACATGTGCCTTCTCGCTGAAGCAAGCACAACTGATCCAAGATTATCTTGGATGACCATACCAAAGCTAGCCAATGGATCCTCCTTGCAAATTGTAATATCTGTGTGAATTTTTGCCACCCGTCGCCCGTCACAGTTGCATTCTTTTGCACAATAGGAGGCAACGTCGATATGGACTGTTGGACTACTGCACTATCAAAACAATACATCGCCCCCATTTCATAAATTTGTTGCGGCCAATAATAAGGATGAAAACAAGTGAGATATTGAATCTTGCTTCCAAACCAGACCAACTTCCATACACGCTTCGACCGTTCACAATTAAAAACTTTATGCCTTCCTCTTTTCCACATAAAAAGCAATGGCCTTGGGTATGCACGTCTCTCCGGTTTCAAGTTGTCAATTGTAGGTAAGATAATGGGATTTTTGGTGGAACTAATTGCACACTTTCCATGGAACATAAAGCACATTTGAGAAACCGCTTCCGCCAAGGATTATATAACAAATTAAACAGTTAATTGTTAACTCACAGAATTGACATATTAGAGCAGTACTGTCAAATGTGAAACATAGCTAACTTGATACCGGAGTGCAATCTCAACGGTCATTGACTTCAGATATCTCAATACATGATCTTATGCTTGGAATTTATATTGCTAATCTCAATTGCTAAAAAATTACTATTAATAATTGGACGCCCCACCCTTCTCTCTGACTTAGTTACTAGCTTCTGCATTTACATGCTATTTTTGCTTGATATCTTCCACCTAAAGTCAGCTCCGTGTGGAATTTTTATTCTCATCATTGATTGCTAGAATTGAAAATTAAAATCACCTTATGGGCTGTTTGGTTGGTAGGAAATAGACCTGCAGCAGTAAATAATGCAGCAAGATTTCTGTTTCCATTGTTCGTTAAGCAACAACTTAGTTAAGAATGTAAATAGAATTATATTTTGTAAAAAGGAAACGTTGCAACATTTGTTGTGCCCAACTTGGCCGCAACAGATGTTGCAAATCCTTGCATTAACTAAAATAACTATAAGTTAGTGCCACACCATCAAATTAGTTGATTTCAACTAAAAAATGTAGATCATTTTGCATTCCGAGCAAAACAAACACTTGATTTGCAAATGAATTGCTTTTGGCGCAACAAGAATGCAAATCTTACAACTAATGTAACTAACCAAACACTAACCTTGGATTTGGAAATATATTTCCTATGATAATAATCCAGACACTCAAATAATTAAAAATTCTACATGCAATGTTTCCTACATGCATTATTTGTTGCATTTATATTTATAGTGAACCAAACAGCCTTTTAGCGCTTGAATTGTCAAGAAATGTTTCTGCAGCTTAGACAAACCAACTACTAAGAGAATAAAATAGCTGTAATATTATCTTTTTTCGGATAATGAACGCAACTAATTTTTCTTTAAATTTATGCTAATCCTTGGGAAAGAATTTTGGAAAGATTTTCGTAAGATAGGATCTGTCCAAATTTGGATAAGAAAATAAATCTTGAGGAGAGCTTGGTTTATTATGTTGGATAATTTTTTTTTAGCCGCCCACGTTTTGACAGCCACCCTCTTCTTTAGCCCCCTTCTTTGACAATTTTGAAGAAAAACAAATTTGGTGGGTCCCACAAGTTTGAAATTAAATAAAGTGGTGGACCCTACCGAAGAAAAATTAGGACGTGGGTCCCACATGCATAGTAAAATATATTATTTTATTAGTGCATAGTATTTTTCCAAACGTTATAAATAGACCTCAAATCCTTAAGGAAAATTTATTCCAAAAACAATAATCAATATATACAGATATATATTGTAGAATAGCTAGTGCTAGTAGGAACAGTGCCCAGACCGAGAAGGTCAATATATACAGATATATATTGTAGAATAGCTAGTGCTAGTAGGAACAGTGCCCAGACCGAGAAGGTCTTATAGATCGAGGAGATCTTTGCCTGAGGAGATCGAGGAGATCTTTGCCTGATAGATCGAGAAGATCTTTGCCTTATAGATCGAGGAGATCTTGACAGTACTGGGTTGGTACACACCAGAGTACTGGACTGCTGTTCCTGGAAGCAATTTGGCATTGGGATCCTTGCACCGGAGTAGGCCAAATAATGCTTTAAGCACAACATTTTACAAATGCACATCAGCTGAGTTGGAAAATTTTAAATTACTGTACTTCAATTTTCTGTTTAGTTTTTACTGTTTTATATCTGTATTATTCCAGATTTAATCACAGGCGCCAATAATCTTAAAGTATTATTTTGATCTACCATGGATCCTGCGAGAACTCTTGGAGTGGACTGCCTTAAGTTAGAGAACTTTGACGGTTCCAACTTCAACGCATGGCGTCGGAAAGTAATCTTCGGGATGCAACTCCTGAAAATCTACTATGTGGTTTCTGAGGAAAAACCCGACTCTGAAGAAGACTCTGAAGCTGAAGCCTCTTGGGCTAAAGATGATCACTTCTGCAGGAGTTATCTCCTTAACTGTCTGACCGATCATTTAGCAGATGCTTACACCAACAAGCCCACTGCAAAGGAAATCTAGAATGCTTTGGAGGACCAGTATAAGGATGAGGAGAAGCTGTCCAAATCTCATCTCATTGATAAATTTCTGGACTTGAAGTTCGAAGATGATACTGAGGTTTTACCTCAAGTCAAAGAGCTTGAAAAGCTTGTTATGAAGCTGAAGGATGAAAAGATCAGTCTTTGTCAAACCTTCATCTCTGGTGCAATTATCAACAAGTTTCCTCCATCTTGGATGTCATTCTCCACTGATATTCGAAGAAGGAAAAGACAGGTAACTCTGTCTGACTTAAAGATGTTTATTCGGATCGAGGACGAGACTCGGACTCGCACGAAGACTGAGCTCATTGCTAAGCAGAAGGCGTTTGCTAACATGGTGGCTGCTAACTCTGAAAAGAATAATAATTCATCTTTCAAGAAGAAGAAGTCTTTTAACAGAAAGAAGAACCAGAATCCGAAGAACCTGAACGCTCAGAAGAAGGAGTTCAAGAGGAGCGGCAAATGCTTCAACTGTGGGAAGCAAGGACATTTTGCCAAAGTCTACAGAGCACCAAAGAAGGAAACAACACACAATGTCAATCAATTTGATGATTGTGTGGCCATGCTCTTCCAGGTAATAACTCCAAGCAACATCTCTAGTTGGTGGTTAGATACGGGTGCTACTTGTCATGTATGCTCCAATAGAGATATGTTCTCTTCTTATGTTGCTACCAAAGAGAACGTATCAATGGCTGATCATTCTGTGGTTCATGTTCTTGGAACTGGGACTGTGGTGCTGACTCTTTCTTCAGGAAAGACTCTCACATTGAAGGATGTAAAACATGTTCCCTCAATTGCCAAAAACTTTGTAAAACACGTTCCCTCAATTGCTAAAAACTTAGTCTCTGGAAGCATGCTGTGTGATGCAGGCATGAGGCTAGATTTCCAAGGAGGAAAGGCTGTATTATCCTTCAAGAAAATGTATTTTGGCAATGCATATCGTACTGATGGCATGTATAAAATCAGTACGAGTGCACCCAACCCTGTTATAAATGAAGTATCCCCTTCTGCTTACTCCTCTGTGTTATGGCACAATAGGCTGGGACATGTAAATTATAGAAAATTATCTAGCATGGAGAAGTTAGGATTACTTCCAAAATGTGGGGGTAACAAACCTGAGAAGTGTGAAGTTTGTGCGCAAGCAAAGCTGACGAGGAAGTCATTTTCAAGTGTCACGAGGAGCACCAACCTGTTGGATCTGATTCATTCAGATACTTGTGACTTCAAGAGCTTCGTCACTCGTGGTGGCAAGAAGTACTTCATCACCTTCATCGACGACCATTCTCGCTTCTGCCACGTTTACCTGCTGAAATCTAAAGATGAAGCCTTCAGCAAGTTTGTCGAATTTCGGACTCAAGTGGAGAAGCAGCTTGGACTTCAGGTAAAAAGACTCAGGAGCGACAGAGGAGGAGAGTACCGATCTAAGGAATCGGAAGCATACTTCATGGAGCATGGAATCATTGCTGAAACTACTGCTCCGTATTCTCCGCAATCTAATGGGATTGCAGAAAGAAAGAATCGCACATTGACCGAAATTGTGAATTCGATGCAAATCACATCTGGTCTACCTACCTGCTATTGGGGAGAGACTTTGCTAATGGCAAACTGGATTCTGAATAGAGTACCCTACTCCAAAACTGATAATACTCCTCATCAGTTGTGGTTGGGATATCCAGATTCTTTGGATAATCTCAAAGTGTGGGGGTGTCTCGCATACGTTCGAATACCAGATATCAGAAGACCTAAGCTCGGACCAAAGGCAAACAAATGTGTATTTCTTGGCTTTGCTAGAGATAACAATGCGTGTAGGTTCCTGGACCTTGGAACCAACTCCATCATTGAAGCTCGGGATGCAGAATTCTTTGAGGATAAGTTTTTCAAACATAAAGGCTTATTGCTCAAAGATGTAGCAGAGAATGCTAATGCTTCAAATGCACAAGAGGAGCCAGTCAATGAT